TTTGAAAAAATAAAAATCAAAAGGAGAAGTATAAAATCCTCTTAAGTTGTCCAATTAATTACAATTTACTGAATCTTTTAAGCAAATTTTCATGAATTTGCATCATTTCATTAGTACTGTACTGTTTGTTTTTTTATCTTGCAACGAAATAAATACATTTAAGATTTTTGTATTTGAAATTATGAGGGTGAGGTTTTTAACGACTCCTCGACTACGTTTATGCTCGGGAGCTTGTTGAAGCCTCTGAGCCACCGAAAGGTTGGTAATAAACGGCCATCCGTATATACTTAATTGGGTTAATCTATTGAGATTAATTAACACAAACTCTCCTAAATAGAGAATTAACTTTGTACTGCATAGGAATACCGTTATGTTCTGTGGTCTGGTGGTTTCACCGTTCAACAGAACAAGTAGTTGAAATCTCAATATTTTTCATTAATTAACCATCAAATATATATATATATTTCATCGCTAAATCAACAAAAACTTTTTTAAAATTTTTTTCGTATGCAATTAAAATGAAAAAAGTTTGTACAATAGACATAATAGTTTCTCTAGAAATGTATGAATGCAATTTTAATATACCAATCATTTAATTTAATAAAATATTTATTGGATTCCCATTATAAAGTTATTGTAATGGAGTCAATTTTTAAAATTCGTAATTATGATAAAATTATCATATATTTACGTTTCAGGACATTTGAAAGCATATTAGAAGGTTTAATAATGGATGTCCGTACGTACAAACGTACGTACGTATGTCCGATTTTTTTTTAAATCGTAATTTTATTATTTCTTTACATTTTGAGACATTGAGAAGCATTTTAGAGGGTTTGAGAATGAATTTCCATACGTACAATTATACGTACGTATGTCAGGTTTTTTTTTCATTTCGATATCTCGAGAACCACTAAAGATATCGATTTCAAACTAATTTTATTCGAAAGATGATACAATAAAAAATATTTAAAAATAAGTTCAAACAAATTCGGCCTAGTTGTGTCTCTCTTTTTTGCAACAAAAAGATTGTAAAGTAAATGAAGTAAAAAAAACATTTGAAATAATTTTTACTCATTGAATGATTAATATTATTTCAAAATGAGATTAATATCAATACAAAATGGTTGTCAACGACTTTACATGACTGTAAATAATTATATATTGTTTATAACCATTCCAATTTGTTATAAACAAAAAAAAAAACTAAAAAATGGCAAAATGATGGATTTCATCAATAAAATTTATTCAAAATATTTTTCGAGATGGATAAGTTAGCTAAATGATGTAAAGGTGATCATGAAAGATCTAAAATTGATTAGATTAATGATTTCTAATAAAATATGGAAAATATAAGGAAAATGAAAATAATTAAAATGATTTTAAGATCCATGTGCCGCCACGTAGCGGAGAAGTAATAAACTATCAAGCAACTCCTTTTCATCCCCTCAAGACAATCAATTTCCTTAACTTGCAGGAATTTTTACTTTCAACTCATTCATTGGTATTAAGATGATGATGATAATGATGTTCTCTAGCGGAATAATATTCATGCCACAATTTTTCTTACCTGTCGGTGAGGTAAAAAAAATAGGAATAGAAAGTAAGAAATGGAGCATCTACCCTCGAATAGTCGTGCACGCGTAGATATTGCGAAAGTTTTATACTCATTCGTGCGCACTAGTCTCCTCTCAAAACCCTCCTAAAAGTGACTTTTTGGAGAGGAAAAAGAGGGAGAGTATCACCTTCGCACTAAAGAAAGCTAATAAGTATCGAGAAACACGATCCACGAGTAACTTTTAAGAACTCTCGAACGAGGGACATGAGGAGTTGCAGGTTTCTAGTTTCTATAAGGGTGGATCTGAGGGGGTGAGTTGTAGTTTATGAACACGAGTCACATAAATTGTTGCGGCTCTTTAAGAAATTGGAAAGGCACGTGGGAACAGCTTGCGTAGAGTGGCTGTGAACTTTTTTAAAGAGCCTTCATGAAAAATGGTGAAATAAACCACTTTTTTATAAATCATTTTATTAATAGTAAAGTATTGAGAATTAAATTTGACATTATGACAAAAAAAAATTAATTGCTTGAGAAGATAAAAGATGTTGTTATTTTAAATATCAAATTTGGGTTATTGTTGAATTATTTAAAAGCTAAAAGACAAACTCGAGAAAAACAATCGTCCGTAGGGAAAAATTTTCCCCTTTCAGGTAATCTTCGGCGAGACAAGATATTACATTTGAATAAATGTCACTGAGCGATAACCAGTCGGGGTAAACGAATACGATATCGAAGCCATGATCAGGATAAATATCCCTTGGGAAATATTCGCTAATATCGATCATATTGTCATTAATAGCTTCGTGATGTTCTTATAAATTTCAAAATAACTCTGTCAAAAATTCAATAACTTTTAAATTGACAATTTTTGATCAAATTTTTTAGAATAAAATGTTAAAAAAATTTATTTAATTTGATTAATTATTATAATTAATAGTAACATTTTTCGATTATTTGTTGATGATAGAAAAAAATTGTCAAATGAATGTAATAAGTTATGGATAAATTCCGAGCATATTTTTCAATCGATTATTATCAAAACATGGTGAATGAATCAAAAGTAAATCAGGGATGAAATAAAATTGCGATTTGGACGAGTAGTTACGCTGAATATCGCATTTATCGAGGGAATATTCGCGATACGCTTCGTTTCTCTCTCATACTCTGTACGGAACGATGAATAAAGATAGAAAATTAAACTCACCCTGTGACCACTCGATGCAACCACGTTTACCACTGTTTACCACAATTATTAAATGTAAACTCATATTTTGTAATTGCCAAATATTGCCAATTCACATGAATCCCATTTACCAATTTGTTTATTTCACTTTTTCTCCATTTCACCGTTTCAATCATATAATTGACTTTAATTAAAACTTTTCCAACTCATTAAAAAATACTTTGTTCATCAAAATTCCATTCTAAATCAATCATTTGTAATTATTTCAATCCTAACTACAATAATTTTTCTCAAATATAAAATCAACGACAAGTTTGTTTTTTTTTCTCAATTATTTCCTAGCAGTTGATGTATAAATTTTTTATTAAATAAAATAAAATGCTATTTAGGATGAATGAAAAAAAAAGGTGAGCTTGATACAAAATGGAAAATTTTCAGAATATATTCTTGAAAGTTATGCGGAACGAGTGTTAGGTCCAGCGTCAGCTTGTGTAACTATCGGTAATTAATCAGGATAGACCCCACATATCGTGTCAACGATGTCGAGAAGGGGTTGAACTGGGTGGTGAAAAGCGATGGAATAGTTAACCAGTGACGTCACGCTCATGGCGACATCTGGCTTGGTGCTAGTTTGGGCCGGACATTGTTGGGACACCGGACACCGTAGAGCTTCTATAACTCTGTATCAAAATTACCACAAACCCTTTCACGCAAGGCACCAACACCGGCTGCTTTTAATTAATTCCGTCGTCGTTGTCGTTATACTGGACAGCAACGATTACAACGGTGAATATCAACGCATACTTGATCCTTTGAACACCACAAGAGTACCAATGAATTTCGTCTGTATATTTTCCAAGCGAAAAATTGATTTACAATGGCCGGTTAATTTTTATTGCAGTGGTTTTATTCGTTTACGATCCAATTGGTTTTTGTTGGTTTTCTGTGCATGCATGCACGAGCTTCCGAGTAAAATGAGAGTGAGGGGTGCAAGCTCACCCCTCGCGGACTCGTCGAAATACGAGTGGCGCGAGAGAAAGCCCTGGACGGTCACTGCGTGGATTAGAGGCTGATTCGGACGATCCAATTTAATTGGGCGATTAACGGCTAAATGCCGTCGTCCCTTTCGAGCACAATGAATCGTCCAGGGGTGTCTCTGCGATGGAAAATATAATTCAACAATATTTATGGATGGATTAACGTTTAAATTACCTCGATATCCATACCTCAAATATTTCCCTTAACACTTTTATTTATTTGTGTCAATATCCTTTTTTTTTTTTTTTTGCTTCAACATATTTAGCATTAACTATGATTCAAACCAGTTGACTTGGTGAAGTCAAGGAAGATGAGAGGCGGGATTCAGATAATAAATTTTATGTCGCGCTCAGTTGAGGATTAACTGCAATTGATGGTCTAAGACAAGGGAGGAGTATAACATTGTAACAGAATTTTATTCCTCTTCATATATAACACATTTTTTTTTGCTTTATTTAATTTTTTTTTTTTTTTTTATTTTATAACAAAAAATATAGAACACTAAAAATATTTTTACTGTAATATTTTTAATTAAAAAACAACTTGCAAATTTTTTGCTTAATTTTTGAATAAAATTTTACAGATTAAATAGCTGAAATAATTCAAATAAAATTAAATAATGGAAAATTTTATTAAATTGTTAGGAGTTTAAAACAAAAAAAAGTTGAATAATATAGATATTGAGAGTTGATGATGAAATTTTCTATTTTCTTTTTCAAATGGGCTTTCTCCACTTCTATGAAGAACCCAGTGCGCGATTTGTTCCCAAGTGAAGCGTCAAAAAGTGCAATAAAAGCTCGAAGAAAGGTGGGAGGAGCGGGTTGAGACGTTGATAAGGCGTGCAAGTGAGAGCTTGTCATGAGGATTGACCAACCTCGAAGACGTACCGGCCTCTGTCCTAACACTCCCTGTTACTACTTTCACCTTGATACGCCCTATCCAATGCAGAACCGCCCATAAGCTTGCGCATATTACGCCCACCAACCAATCCGCGCTTGTGCAAAATCGCAAGCTCCTGAGCGCGCGTAGCTTTCGCGAAATAATTCTGCGAACAAACACCACGTGCAGCGCGACCGGGTCGCACGTGCGTCACGGACACTTCTATTGCTGAGCTTTCGATTCTTGATAATAAATCAATCAATTAAAGTATCTATAAATAATAGTATTATTTTTGAAGAGCTTTTTTTCACAACAATAGTGATTATTTCAAGTATTTTTAAGTTTAGTTATAATTAATTTTATTGTGAAAAGAAAAATAGTTTAAATTGCTGAGGTATGTAATAAATAAATTTATTATTGATTTTTAAAAAAATTATTATGTCAAAGTGATAGTTTTTTTTTTTTTTTAATTAAATATATAGAAAATCAATAAAATAATTTCTCCTCTACTTATTACGGGCCGATATTCAACAGTTGGTCTTTCTTTTATCTCGCAAAGCTTCAAACCCCGAACATTGTGAGTCTCCCATCCTTCGAGAATGGTTTTCTCCAAAACATCTCTCAAAGCTTTTCACTTCTTCATTTCTCCAAAGACCCTTCGTCAGTGATACTTTATTACGATAAGTGTCGTTAATGTAAATAATCAGCCACTTAAGGTATTTATTAATACCACATTAAATTATTATTATTATTACTACTATTTTTTTTTTTTATTTGAAGTAAAATTGAAAATAGGCAATTAAAAAAAAATAAATATTGTGATTTAGTGAATTTAAATGAATGAATTTTGCAAAATAAATAGAAATGATAAAAAAAAAAAAAATAGAAATGTTGGGAAAAAGAAATATCTTTAAAAAATTTTAATGCCAAAGTGACCATAGGTGTAACATATTTATGTTGTGAACCGACTGAGTGTAGGCAATAAATAGCCGCGAGTTTCAGGGGTTGGGGAGGAGTTAAATGTAGGGCCAAAGCGATTATAGTTTTACCCTCTTCTAACAGAACAAAAACTACATTTATTTTTTCACCCTTTCACTTATCTTCCAACATTATTTTAGAATAAAAAAATTTTTCAGCCATTTTTTATCATATATCTTTTTTATTATAATTTATAAATAATAAAAAAAAAAGTGTATTTATTGTTATTAAACATGAATTACTTTTATCTTTTGCTATTAAAACTTTTTTATATCAAATTAAAAACAAACAAGTTGATAAAAAAAAATATTATCATTTAAATAATTAATCGATAATTTTTTTTTTGTTTAATAAAATATTAATATTTATATCTAGAATCGATGAATGACAGGAAATATCGATTCTCTCGAGATTGGTATGTTAGAAATCACATGGAGAATTCGCATTCCGTAACGTCGTTCAGTGGAGGTAGTGCACGATTGGCAGGCGAGATATAGACAAGCTAATGATGCATATCTTCGTCTGTTATGTCTTGAATGTCTCGACGCGATCGGTTCTCCCTGACCCCATCAGTGAAGTGGTACTGAGGGGTAAGAAGGGCAGCAAATAGGCCTCGAAAGCCAAGCAGGGATAGATGGGCATGGTTGCGATGAGGCTGAGAGCTTGCGGCTGCATGCCACATCCTATAACCATGTCTGGCACATGTTCCACTCCTACTACTAGCGTCGTTGTACTCTGTTAGAATGTCAGAAATGTTACTCAAGAGTACAAACTCTCAATGCTCATAAACACTATTTCAATAACTGTACAATTATTTTTTAGCCCTTATTCAATACAAATGAATGTTATTTAAAAAATATTAATTATAATAATTACAAAACAGTTGTTTTTTTTATTTGATAATTTTTAATAAATAACAATTATTTTATAACCTTACATTCCATTATGCTTTGCCATCATTTTACTTTATCCATGAGTTCAATCATAGTATTTAGATGAGAAATAAATATTTATTAGCAGCGAAGAAATCATTTATTTGAGCCAAATAAATCTGTTTTAATAAATAATTTCTTAATTGTTAACAAATGTTCATTTGATTTCTTCTCCAAAAAACATATTTATTAGCTGCTAATAAATCATGTTAGACTCAAAGAAATCCATCTATCAGTGAATCAATTCAATTTTAAAATCAACTTGTATTTTATTTCAATAAATTATTAGAACAAAGCGAATCAATGATTCGTTGTAACTATGTCAATAATTCGATTAGTAAAGTATCTGAAGGTTAAAAATAAACCAAAATAGTGAATTGAATTGGAATGTAATGTTGATGGAATTTAAGACAATCGATTGTAGAAGTAAATTTATAAAATATTTTTTTTTTGTTATAAAATAAAGATTAAAATAGACAAAGGGATGGAAGGGAGATGATTCGAGAAAGAATGTAATGCGCTAAAACAAATATTTAGTTGTACGAGACCACGAATAAATTGCCCATGGAAAGCGAGCTGTGGAACAACTACAAACACTTCACATATGTTTCGATGTTTCACCCCTACTAGGGGGATGGACATACGTAAAAAGAGAGCAAGGGAGAAAATGAGAGTAACTATGACCTGCTACGAATTCCCAGGGAACATCAACAGAGAATGAAAAGTAGGTTTTATAGGCACATTCTCACACATGAGATTGCTGGAAAAAAAAAATCGACCAAAGCAAATGTAAACTAATTTAACAGCATTCAAACAATTAATCCGAAACATTGAATTTAATAGTCGATTTTATTTTCTTATCTTTTTGTATTATTTATGCAACGGTTGATTTAATTATTACCTCCACAATATGTATGTACGATGTCAATCGAATGATTTACACTGATGATTTAAAGATTTAAAGATCAATGAATAATGTAGTGGTATTAAATAGTCGTAACTGATGATAAAAATGGAACTCTTATGTTGAAAATGTTTATTAACTAAAGTTAAATAGCAGTGAGCTTTTGAGGTTGAAAGGTTTGAGGTTTAAACACTATCACTCATGCATCGAGAATCGATTGGGTTTCTCTATTGACGGTGAGACCAAAGCCACAAGGCCTAAATTATTTCACGTTGTAAACACCTAAGTATACGGAGAGCTTGCAAACATATACGAGGGTAGTTTGGGAGTGCTTGCACGCAGCTAGGCTATGGGTGTACAGTAACGACGACTAGAGGGTGGGTAATTAATAGCAAACCCGTATAAATCAGAGACAGACTGGATGTTACGTTTGGATACGTAGCAGCGAAGCGGAATTATGCCCAGAGGGCTGCTTACCACCTTGGTTCCCCTCTCTCCACTGCTACCACTCGCTAATTTTTCAAACGCTCGCTATAATGGTCCCGGCTAATTACTGATTTTTATCTACGTGCCCTCGTACGACCAACATTCACCTCGCTTACCTGACACAGACCTGGCAATTATTAACCTTTCTCACGATTTACAAACTAACGCTATTCGATTTTATTCCTCCAATCTCTCTCTCTCTTTTCCATCTGATCGTTATCTTGGGATACAATCAAATTGCTTCGATTTAATTGAGATAAATTATTTTTTTATTAGTCCAGTATTTTGATTATATATTTTCTTTAAATACATACATTAAGCAAAAAAATTCGCTGTAAATAAGTAACATTTTTTTAATTAAAAAAAAAACATTATAGGAAAAATAAAAAATAATAATTAATTAAAAATAATAAAAAAGGAAAAAATTTTTCATCTTTGAATTGGTTTATTCTAATGCTTCATTAAATTGATTATTTTTTTTAAGATCCCCCAAGTTTTTCAGAAAGTAAAAATTACTTTAATGTCACTTGTATTTAAACTTATCATTAATTATAATGTCTGTGGGTATTTTAATTTCTCTAAATAATTATTAAAAATCTTTTAAGCAAAGTCAAAAATGTCGTGGCAGATGTTTTGAAATCGTAAGTCATGTTTATCTTGAATATTGATAATACTTCAAAATTATTAAATTTTTGTATGAAGTTAATGTGATCGTGAAAATAATTTATGCTAAATATTTAAATTAAGTCACGAATAATAGTGATTGGATTATTAACTAAGGATCAATCATTTGTAATTTATTTCAACTAAAATTATATAACATCATAGTCTTAAATTCAATAAAATATTTTATTACAAATATTTCAAATTCTTTTCTTTTTCCTTGCTTTAGAATAATGAATTATAAGTCTTAAAGAATACCAGTTGATGTTTAAATAATAAATTCACACAAGCTTTCTCATTGAGGATAATGAAGTTATTAACCACCAAGTATATTTGATTCTACAATTGTGGCGTTTGAAAGTTTGAGAAACTTCTTATCAGTATAAAGGTAGCGATAGTTGCGTTATTCCAAGCCAATGGATATAGTCACCACCCTCCAGACACCTTTGTACTTAGAGTAACCCATGTAAGCTCACGCTAGAACAAATTTACCCCTCTCGGTCTACGTTTCGCATGTATCCTTCTCGTCTACCCTCGTACTCTTAGCTACTTCTAGACCCTTCTCATCCTTTTGCTGTTCCTAGCTTGGAACACCGATGTTATGAAGTTGTGTTGAACTTTTGCACGGAGAATAGTTTGCAGAACAACCCCCAGGGTGACTGAGAAAGCTTACCTTGACTTGTGACATGTTGCTAGATATAGTCCAAATGAAGACCTTGTACTTATTCACGTCAAATTCTTACCATTTTATTTAATTCTACAATATTTAATGTTAATAATAAATTTATTCACATTATTTATAGCTACGTATTTTAAATTAACAATTATGATTATTTTAAATTTGATTCACCTTTTTTTTTTTATTAACTATTAAGAAAATGAGTGAAATGCGTTAGAAATTCTCAACGTGCCAACGTCTTTGTCGACTGCATGCACGGAGAGGAGGGTAAACTCACGAGGCCAACTTTGAGGGACGTAGTAACAGCATTACAATGTTATTAGATTTACCGCAAGCACCTACCCTGAAGGCTTTTGCCAGTAGACCGAATTACGCCCACACTCTGTCAAGTATAAGTAACCCTAAGCAGTCTGTTATAGTAGTAAGTCATCTATTAATTTAACTCTCAACTTTATCCCTAAAAAATTCTCAAAATAAAGTTATCAATTTTTCAACTACAAAGGGCAAAGTATGGATGATTATTTATTTTTTTTTGCAATTCAAGGAAGTAATTAATTAGAAAGGTTTTGATTGAAAAAAAATTAAATTTCAATAGAAACAATGGTAAATAAAATAGAGCATACCAACAAGAAAATCGAGAGCGAGAACATTTAGCTATTGAGTGGCTACCCTTAAGATAAGGGTAGCTTCACCCCCGTCTCTCATACGTTTCCGCTATCTGACGCTAAACGGCACACCACTTGGCTTGCCAC